CTGCATGGCATCCTGTATAGAGAATAAAGCGTGTTAATCAGGGCATGATTCGTCATCCAACCTCCTGTTGTCGGTTGGAGGGAGACGAGACGGACTGATTGCCGCAGATGCGGCGAGGCCGGCGTAAAGCAGGGAGAGAAGGAATTGGGAGTGCATGGTCGTCGATCTTTGGGTTTCTTAAGGATATATGGTCAGCTCTAGGACGGCATAGGGATTTGTGTAGACGAGCTAAAGGACATACAAAGGACGATTCGCAATTGGGAATTTTGATAGTAAGTTCTCAATGCCCTTATTTCTCGTATACGAATACCCTATCGCTAGCTCATGGCGTGGATGTCAAGAGGCTTTATATGCTTCACGGGCAGGGCTAGATGGTTGCCTTTATCGGAGACATTGCTAGAAAGTATGTGGGATTCGCATACTTTGAAGTCTCGTCTCTTTGTAAGAAGTCGTACATCGCGATTCCATTCGAGGAAGGCCGAATAGCTCCTGAGGGCTGTGTTGCAAACAGTGCCCTACGTAGCACGATATTTCGTCTGTGCAACATCAAGACTCTAATTCTTCATCATAGCTTGACATTCCCATATGCACTTTCCTGTCAAATAGGAGAGCACCTAGTGGCAGCCAGTAGAGGAGTATCGAGGTGTTGAGTTATCGAGAGCTAAGATTCCCGCCGTTTAAAATAACCCGACTTTGCTTCATCAATGTGATCAAGACATCCGTGGAATAGCAAGAAGTATGAATGCCAGGTGGGAATAGTAGCACCGAGATGGACGTCTGCAGGGCGTGTGTGCACTGATTCCGTAGCTGTTATTGATTGCTATATCGGGCTGCAAGCGAAGATAGCATGGTGATTCGTAGTACTTATCAAACAATCGGAAGCACAAGGAGCGGGTTCTCCCGTGCCATAGTGTCAGCGGTATACTCCATCAAAGAACAGATAATATATCCGACTCCTGCAATTCGGGCCAAAGCATGATTGCGTATTCCACCGTCGAAATCGAATCTACCCTATTTTCTTGGTTAGTCTCGGGGGAGAGCAACATCAAATGCAGTGGTTCTTCTTCCTCTCTCGAAGTAAAGGCGGACTTCCGCGCGCGGGGGATTCGGATCTCGAGGATACAAATCACCGCCCTGGAAAAAGCTGCTTGTTAGTAGAGGGTGCCCGCATGTGTTACGCGAACGATCTGTGGTTGTCCAGGCTAAAACAAGGCGAAGTTTCGTAAGTCGCTACCTCAACAGGATGCAATATGAACAAGCGCGCATCAGTATCCCAGTGCCAAAGACGCCGTGGGTCAAAGGGTGCTAATATCGGCGGGTGCCGCTCCATTTGTGGTTGCGATAGCTCGAAAAGAATGGGGTTGCATCCGCACAAGCGATTAGAGGACGAGAAGGTCAACATTAAGACCGCGCGGCCGACACCTCGGGTAGTTCCAGCGAAAAGAATTAATATCGGTGACCATATGGTTGCATTTCAAATGGACGTGTGACTATCGAATATCCAATGCCTTGAGAGTATGAAGAGCGTAACAGATTTCACAAAGTGAGTGGATCTCGGATATTATTTGTTCGGCTCCGTGTATGATCCTTGGTGCTTTGTTCGATCAATCTTTTCAAATGTATAAAACTGCATTGATGCCCTTTTTCCTCACTCGCGAATAATACGATCTCCTTGACCTGGCATGCTAAAGGGAAGTTAGCCATCAAGCCAGTATAAGTCATTCTACCTAGGTTCGGTGACGTAAAATTTTGCAAGGAGAATTAGAATTGAAAAAAAAGGGTTGAAGTTCATCAAAAAATATATTAATGATAGAGTAGCACGGCATGTTGCTAGACGTATCGAAAGGTGTTAGAATATGGAAGAACACCAAAAGAAGAAAACAAAAGAAATCCGCTCGTTTCTATCAACGAAGCATTGACAACGCCGCAAGCACCGAAGACCTAACCTTCCTAAACCGCCTGTTTCTAGGGAAACGATATAAATGAAAGCAAATAGACGGCGATATTAGAAAATTTAGTCGAGAAGTAAAAAGAACGGACAAATACAAGATGTATCGTCTCTATATGGACTTGACCAACAGAAGTGTATCGCTTACGGCAATTGGAAATCCGGACACCAAGCCATTAGGCCTTCGAAATCCAGCCGCTGTGGACCATAAAATCGAAAATGCGGCCTGATTTAGCGACATCGATCTGCAAAAAACTCGAGCTTTAGCATGATATCATGTAATTTCAATTGTGGCGGAGTAAACTGACCTTGCACATAGTCCTAGCATCTTTCTTCTTTAGGGTTCCCCCTTGCTTCATGGCTTCTTTAAGCAAATGCTCTTTAATGACAAGGTAAGGTTTAGGCTGCAAGTGCAAAATATTGCACAATTCTACCTCTTCCTTGCTTAAGAGGTGGATGTCTGGCGCTTTATCGTTCTCGAGCCTCCACGGAACAAGTCCATTTATTGGAGGAATGACGAATTTCGACTTTGTCGGCTGGGAAGCGGTTGTTCCATTCAAATTGTTGCTGGCAAACAGTTTGTCAAAATCATTGAGAACTGGTGGCGGCTCTGCCGGTACAAGCTTCCTTTGTAGCCGCAAGGGGAGTTCAGGCATGGTTAATTGAGCAGCAGCAGAAGGGCCTTCAAACTGCGGTGGTTTCGGTCGTGTACTAGCAAATCGGTCGAATGCGCCCTGCGGCACAGCTCTCTGCGCTCGCTGGGTTTTCTCTTGTTCGTATTTCTCACCACTCTTCAAATCTCCGATGCCCATTGTTCGCCATTCCTGGAGTTGTGCGATTGCAATTCGAAGGTTATGCTCATATTCCAGGCCTTTTGTGAATTCCTCGAAATCTTCGTGATTCATCATCCTAGCAAACGGCTTCGCTTTGTTCATCAAATCTCGCTCCTCTTTTGTTCGCTTTTTATCCAATGCCGCATTTTTCCGGTACTCCAAGAGGTTATGTTCAAAAAGTATTTTCTTGCGCTCGGTTCTAGCAGTCAGGCGAGAATTGTAAATATCCTGGACTGTCATCTTGAGTTCCATCTCGGCGTCCATCTCCCCATTGGCATTTAGGCCGTTTCCGGGCTCGAACTGCATATGTTGAACCGCTTCTTCGGCATCGTTGGCAAATTCCGTCTCAAATTCCAATCTTCCAGGCATATAACCTTGAACTTCATGGCAAGCCGGCACTGAAGCAGTGGGTTTTTGCTTGGGGGTCGCTGGAGGTGCGGCCTTGGCGGCTTCCTTCCTCTCTTCGATCCGCCGCTTCTTCCGGATTTGAAACTCTTCCTTTGGTATTTGTTCCTGAAGCGACTTATCTTTTGGATCTGCGAGTTCCGGAAGGGGAAAATTGGGGCTATTGATATAGGTTTCGATGTAGTGATCGCGGACTTCCTCCTTGGTGCGGAAGCCCCCAATGTGATCCGCAATGTCGGCCCATGACCCTAAACCGTAGATTTCAGCGCCCTCTAGAAGCAGCAGTTCCTCATCGGCACCCCAATCAGGGTCATAGATCGGGACCGAATTTTGCTCGATGACTGAGTACGGGTGGGTTCGAGGGTCGTGGTTTTTCGAGTGCTGCCCAGCGGCGAAGCAGGGAACGCAAAGATCATATTCGTGGCAAGCGCTGTGCGCGCAGGAGATGCGCACCTATACCACGATCTCAATCAGACAAAGCTCCGTCTCCACCAAGCCAAAGCGTAAAAACGATGAGATCTTACTGTATTGGTGACGTCTACAGAACAGACATCGCAATGATACTTGGTACCACCGTCTGTGCCGCGCGCCGCGTTCTTTTTCCGAATGACACCCATGGAATCGTGGCCTATCGACTCATTGTCTTCCACCTTTGTCAATAGTCTCGAACCCGCGTCGCGATCTTGAGTGAGGCGATATGCCCAGCCTTCGCATCAGCTGACGGCAAGGCCCGGAAGTCCAAACCCAAACCTTCCACCTCGAATCACTAAAACCCGGCGAATCAATAACAAGGAGGTGGGAGCTTCGAATGCAACTGTTGAAGCGATCACTGTCAATGATGTGTAGCTATAAACCCCACAGCGGTCTTCCGTCGCAAGATGATCACGGGAAGGAGTACGAGACGGGCCGATCGGGCCATTACATAATCCAAACTATGGGCTTGGCGTTGCTTGGCGGTCTAGGCGTGTTCCCTCCGCGTTGACCAGTTCTTGGCAGGGGAGCAACGTCCAACTTCATGGATATGAGGAACAACATGATTGACATTCCAGGCCAGTTTTATCGCTACATTCGACATGCAGATGGGAGAGCCAAATGACTTGAAAGAGTAGATGTCAACCTTGAAAACTGAGCCCGGACAAGTAAGAGTTCTGATTAATAGAAATGGAGTACCCAGCATTAGGATTTGTGGAGGAACTGAGAACGAACATTTGCTCCACGTATGCCAGCTTTCAGACCCTGTGTGCCGAATGAATACGCCCTTTTTCATATTCTGCTAGCCCAGTCGTCGCATAGCGGGACGGCAATATTGGTTCCCGTGGAGCTAGCCGTGCAGCAGCTGTATGAAAGCCACAATACCCATTTTGCTCCTGGAACAAAATACCTTCGAGGGGCGTACATTGTATTGCACGACTTGGTCGCGGCAATTTCGAAACCGGGTTCGTCAAATAGCCAATATTCCTTGAAAAGGTGGAAAATATAAAATGTATTCTGTAGCCTAAAGCATATAAGGAGTCTTTGGCTGATTGTATGTATTGATATACAGTACAGACATACGTTGTAGCCTCAAGGGTGCTGAACGATAATATCAGGCATTACTCCATAGAGTTTCTTCCAACCGGGGGATGCAGTGCCAGTTTGACCACATTGTACGGCATAAACGGCACATCTAGCTTCACATAAACGAGCTTCGTTGATCTCAATAAAACTTAGGCTTCATGTTAGCAAAACTGTGTTTTGTCGACAGACGAACTGCCGTCTCCCCAAGATAACTTCATAATAAGTTCTGGCTCTAGAGAGCCAAGCAGGTTTTAGGTCTTTGTAGGCTCGACATACCTTTCGGTCCCGTCTACTCCTCGACCTGTAGGTCAAGGAATAGTTGGCTTTCTTATGGTAGTTGCCAGCCATAGCTAAGTTGGGTTCTTGAGAACAGATGGAGCAAGGCTCCCAAGGAACTAGCTAGTCTACCTTGGAATGATCCAATAAATTCCGACAAGGCCTATATTCTTCACAGAAGTACGTAAGTATATCATCAAGTGTTTATCCAATACCGTCATAATGAGGAGTAGTCAAGCACATCTGTTGTTAAGTAAGAAGTAGCTCTGGGCCATGAACCAGGGACTCGAATAGGCAACCACATGGCTTGGCATGTAATTTAGGGGCGGCGACGGGAGAGTTATTAAGTAGGGGTTCTTGCATTCTCATGGGGGCAAAGCAGAAATAACTCATGCAATCTTAAAAGGGGTCTCTAAAGCTGTAAGCATCAAGAAAGGAGATGAATGGAGGTCATCATCAAAACGAAGGGGCTGGTACTGTCATTACCACTTCCTTGGAGGCTGGGCCCTGTAATTGGCGGAAAGGTGTGGCTGAGCTGGCGCGGCTGGTAAGATACAAGCTTCCGATTGGCGTATTGTCGTAAAGGGGGAGCCGGCTGGTATTGTCTCCAGATTACATAATGGGCTAAAATACCCAGGCAGTCCCATCACATCACTTCAGAAGCCCCCAAGCGATTCCCCTCCTTTAGACTGCTCAGCAGATGCAACCTCCATCCAGACCGAACTGAATAGCAGCTGGGAAGACAGACCAGGAGAGCTGCCAGAAGTGTCACGTTGCCTTCCTCTGGCGCTTCTTCTCTTTGCTAGTTTTGCTTGTCTCCTCCCAACCAACACTATTTCAGTTGTGGTTGATCTCCGCCCAAGCCGCATGCGTATTGAAACACATTCCAAGTGAACGCTGCTGCTTAAAACAACTCTCACCTCACGCTCGCAACGACTAAGCGACCTCATCACCAGCGTACTTTTTATCTCTCTTCATGGCTCTGAGGTCTGACAAGATGTCGTGGAAAATCGCGAAGAGTATGGCTTTCACCCTCATCTCCGCTTCGATCTGATGTCGTCTGAGCTTGTCACTGACTGTATTGCCTCCAGAGTTGAAGGACACCCATCTGGCCCCTCTTGCTAACTCATTTGGCCGATCCTCCTCTACTTCTACAATCAAGCCTGATTCTGCGGATGACAATGCTTCTCTCACACCGACAGTGTCAGCCACTGCCAATCCCACAACCCCAAATAATGGCATTGGTGAGCATCTCCTGTAATCACATCATCTGGAAATCTCAACTTGCTAACCACAGGACATAATTGCAGTTGCTTCCGAAGCCTTAGTTTCACCCCCAGCCACTCCAGTGAACCCCGGAATCTTGATCGTTACTCTTCATGAAGGCCGAGGTCTCTCATTATCCAACCACTACCAGAACCTTTTCAATCAACACTTCCAAAATAACTACAGTGGACCAATTAGACCCAACTCATCCTCTTCTCACACAGGCCATACGCCAGTTGCCAGCTCTTATGCTCAAACCGGTCGACCGCAATCCACTAGTGGCGGTATTAACGCTGCCCCGACGATCCACGGGCGCTACTCGACTAAATATCTGCCATATGTACTTCTCGACTTTGATAAGCTACAAGTTTTTGTCGACGCCGTTTCTGGAACACCGGAAAATCCATTATGGGCTGGGGATAACACTTCGTTTAAATTCGATGTGTCTCGAGTAACCGAGTTGAATGTCCAGGTGTACCTGCGGAACCCTGCTGCTCGACCCGGTGCTGGTCGAAGTGAGGACATATTCTTGGGCATTTGTCGAATTCGTCCCCGTTTCGAAGAGGCCCCTAAGTTTGTCGAAGACCCCAAGGCTAGCAAAAAAGACCGAGAAAAGGCAGCAGCAGCTTTTGCTCAACAGGAACGTCAACGCGGCCAAGTTGGCGCAGAATGGATAGATTTGCAATTCGGCACTGGTGCCATCAAAGTCGGGGTCTCCTTCGTGGAGAATAGGCAACGGAGCCTCAAGATGGATGATTTTGATTTGCTCAAGGTCGTTGGCAAGGGTAGTTTCGGGAAGGTGATGCAAGTCATGTAAGCCATCCACCTTTTCCATGCTTTTTCACCAATCCCTAGGAGCTAACTTATATCTGAAGGAAACGCGATACCGGCCGAATCTATGCCATGAAAACCATCCGCAAAGCCCACATTATCTCACGTTCAGAGGTAGAGCACACACTGGCAGAAAGATCTGTCCTTTCGCAAATCAACAACCCTTTCATTGTCCCACTTAAGTTTTCATTCCAGTCACCCGAGAAGCTTTACCTCGTTCTAGCCTTCGTGAACGGGGGGGAACTATTCCATCATCTTCAAAAAGAACAACGATTTGACATCAACAGGGCCAGATTCTATACTGCGGAGCTTCTGTGTGCCTTGGAGTGCTTGCACGGTTTTAAAGTTATCTATCGTGACCTTAAGCCGGAAAATATCTTGCTGGACTACACTGGCCACATTGCTTTGTGCGATTTCGGTCTTTGTAAACTCGGCATGAAAGATGAGGATCGGACTAATAGTAAGTAACAACATGGGTATGCTTATCATTGCACGCTGCTGACTCCCTGCTGCAGCGTTCTGTGGGACTCCCGAATACCTTGCTCCAGAGCTCCTTCTTGCGAACGGTTATACGAAATCCGTTGATTGGTGGACTTTGGGGGTTCTTCTTTATGAGATGCTGACAGGCTTGCCACCGTTCTATGACGAAGAAACCAATGAGATGTACCGCAAGATTTTGCAAGAACCTCTTACTTTCCCGAGTTCCGATATCGTTCCTCCCGCTGCTAGAGACCTCTTAACTCGACTTCTCGATCGCGATCCGCATCGCCGTTTGGGGGCCAATGGTGCTGCTGAAATTAAAGCGCATCACTTCTTTGCAAATATTGATTGGCGCAAATTGCTTCAACGCAAGTATGAGCCTAGCTTCCGCCCAAATGTGGTATGTAACATTCTGTTATAAGCGCTCTTGGATTGTTCCGTAAAACGGATTCCCTAACCTATATTCAGGTTGATGCTCTCGATACCGCAAATTTCGATAGCGAGTTCACATCCGAGGCCCCGACCGATTCGTATGTCGAAGGCCCCCTCCTTTCCCAGACCCTTCAGAAACAATTTGAGGGCTGGTCCTACAACCGTCCAGTTCCCGGCCTCGGTGATGCCGGGGGCAGCGTGAGGGACCCAGCATTCGGCAGCATTACCGAGTAGAATCGGACAAACAAAAGCCATCGAAAGTCTCGGAGTCGAACCTCCAAATGGCTTCCTTGAAATCGCGAAAAGACCTTAGGTGTCGAAGGAACCTTCCTGATAAATGGTATTCTTCTTTTATTGCTTTTTTATTCTTGCTGTTTTATTCCATTCATGAGCATTCTCTCAAAGCCCATGGCTTGTGCTCATGGCAACCTGAGGTCCTCCAATCTTTTGACTCACGGATGGCGAAGTTTTTAGTGGCGCGTTTTTACTTGATTCCCATTAACGCTGATGATGAAGATGCTTCAATCCATTTGATGACCTATCCACAATTTGCAAATGCAGCCAAAGGCACTTGCTTTCTTTTTTCCCTCTTTTTTTTGCCCCATATTTCCTTGTCTTAAAAAATCCAAAAACATAACTTTAGATATTTGGCTTCTGTTAGTGACTCTTTGTCTATTGCCCGCCATATCTCCCAAGCATGCTCCTCCTTGCAGCTCCGATACGTCGATCCTGCCATTGACGTTCATTCCTCGTATCCACCGCCTCTTATTACCTTCTTTCTCAGCAGCCTTGCTTTGGTTTCTCCATCTCACGACTATCTTACAAATGATCTTTTCCTCCCATGCAGTTCTTGGGTTTTGCGGTGTGGTCTTTTCCTTTGCCCAATGTGTCGGAGTACGAGATTGATATTGATTTCTTCATGGTATTGAGGCAAAGGTGTAGATGGGGCCTTGTGGGTTTCTTTTTCCCCTTGCATTCCTACTGTTTATTCCCTCAGACACTTATTGAATTCAAATATCAGAACCTTTTGAAGCTGAAGCATTCCTCTTGATCGCTTCGTTACAGTCTATTGAAATTGCTACCATAAAGAGCTGTGATGTATTCGCTCAGCGCCTGATTGATAGAAGCCGAATTAGTGCATGTGTTAACCACCCTACCACATTGTTGTGTAGATAGTACATGGCTTCACTAAAGAAGTGACAAATGTGCTT